GCTTGGCTTTTTAAGTCTCTTCTGCTGTGTTTTTCAGTGTTTTTATGAGTGATGGTCATTTGTTGGCCTGAGAGGTGTCTTGTGTCCCAATTTGTTGTCAATTTGTCCAGTGGTTTTTGAGTTAATGTTAATCCCACAAACGAACATTACATTTTTATTTATATAGATTATATTACCACATTATTGATATTTATTTATTTATACCCCGCCCAGTCTCACCTCGAAGGGGACTCAGAGCAGCTTACAAGTTATATGTACATACAATATATTATTAGCATGGCTCAATATTAGTACTATATATTACTATAGTGTATTATACTGTAATATTAATAATACTACATGTAATATGAAATATAAAATTACTATATTGTATTATTATTTATATTATTATTATATATGTATGAGTATTATTACCTTACAATAACTTGACTGGACTTAACGTCAGGGAAAAACCTTTACTTTTTACTGTGTGTGTACCTTACAGTGTTATTATTTCTATCTAATTATGTTTATATTCCTGATACCATTATACTATATTATTAGTAATACTAAATATGAAATATATTGTATTATTATTGACAGTATTATTATATGTAACATATTAGTATTATTACCTTACAATGTAATTATTTCCATCTATTTATGTTTATAGTCCTGATACCACTATACTGTAATATTATTAGTAAAACTACATGTACTATTATTATATTGTATTATTATTGACAGTATTATTATATATAACATATTAGTATTATTATCTTACAATGTTATTATTACTATCTATTTATGTTTCTATTCCTGATACCACTATACTATAATATTATTAGTAATACTACATGTACTATTATTATATTGTATTATTGGAAGTGTTATTATATATAATATATTAGTATTATTACCTTACAATGTTATTATTTCTATTTATGTTTCTATTCCTGACAACACTATACTGTAATATTATTAGTAATACTAAATATGAAATATATTGTATTATTATTATATTGTATTATTATATATAATATATTAGTATCATTAGCTTACAATGTTATTATTTCTGTGTAATTATGTTTATATTCCTGATACGACTATACTATAATATTAGTAATACTAAATATGAAGTATATTGTATTATTATTATATTGTAATATTATTGATAGTATTATATATATTAGTATTATTACCTTACAATGTTATTACTTATGTTTATATTCCTGAAACCACTATAGTATATTATTAGTAATACTACAAGTAATATAAAATATATTGTATTATTATTGACAGTATTATATATAACATAGTATGATTACCTTACAATGTAATTATTTCTATTTTTGTTTCTATTCCTGATACCACTATACTACAATATTATTAATAATACTACATGTATTATTATATTGTATTATTATTGCTAGTATTATTATATATATTAGTATTATTATTATATATAATATATTAGTATTATTACCTTACAAGGTTATTATTTCTATTTATGTTTGTATTCCTGACACCACTATACTGTAATATTAATAATACATGTATTATTATTATATTGTATTATTATTATTATATTATTATTATATTGTATTATTATTGCTAGTGTCATTATATATATATATTAGTATTATTACCTTACAAGGTTATTATTTCTATCTAATTATGTTTCTATTCTTGATACAACTGTAATATTAGTAATACTAAATATGAAATGTATTATTATTATATTGTATTATTATTGCTAGTATTATTATATATAATATATTAGTATTATTACCTTGTTGTTTGTTGTTGTTCATTCGTTCAGTCGTCTCCGACTCTTCGTGACCTCATGGACCAGCCTACGCCAGAGCTCCCTGTCGGCCGTTACCACCCCCAGCTCCCTCAAGGTCAGTCCAGTCACTTCAAGGATGCCATCCATCCATCTTGCCCTTGGTCGGCCCCTCTTCCTTTTGCCTTCCACTTTCCCCAGCATAATTGTCTTCTCTAGGCTTTGCTGTCTCCTCATGATGTGGCCAAAGGACTTCAACTTTGTCTCTAGTCTCCTTCCCTCCAATGAGCAGTCGGGCTTTATTTCCTGGAGGATGGACTGGTTGGATCTTCTCGCAGTCCAAGGCACTCTCAGCACTTTTCTCCAACACCACAGCTCAAAAGCATCGATCTTCCTTCGCTCAGCCTTCCCTAAGGTCCAGCTCTCACATCCGTAGGTGACTACAGGGAATACCATGGCTTTGACTAGGCGGATCTTTGTTGCCAGTCTGATGTCTCTACTCTTTACTATTTTATCGAGACTGGACATTGCTCTCCTCCCAAGAAGGAAGCGTCTTCTGATTTCCTGGCCACAGTCTGCATCTGCAGTAATCTTTGCACCTAGAAATACAAAGTCTGTCACGGCCTCCACGGTTTCTCCCTCTATTTTCCAGTTGTCAATCATTCTTGTTGCCATAATCTTGGGTTTTTTGATGTTTAGCTGCAACCCAGCTTTTGCGCTTTCTTCTTTCACCTTGATTAGAAGGCTCCTCAGCTCCTCCTCGCTTTCGGCCATCAGAGTGGTGTCATCTGCATATCTGAGGTTGTTAATGTTTCTTCCAGCAATTTTCACCCCAGCTTTGCATTCATCCAGCCCCGCACATCCTCGCATGATGTGTTCTGCATACAAGTTAAAAAGGTTGGGTGAGAGGATGCAGCCTTGCCGGACGCCTTTCCCAATCTGGAACCCGTCTCCTGTTCCGTGGTCAGTTCTGACTGTTGCTACTTGGTCCTTGTACAGATTCCTCAGGAGAGAGGGAAGGGGGCTTGATATGCCCATCCCACCAAGAACTTGCCACAATTTATGATGATCCACACAGTCAAAGGCTTTAGAATAGTCAATGAAGCAGAAGTAGATGTTTTTCTGAAACTCCCTGCCTTTCTCCATTATCCAGCTGGATATTGGCAATTTGGTCTCTCGTTCCTCTGCCTTTTCTAAACCCAGCTTGAACATCTGCCAACTCTCGCTCCATCTATTGCTGGAGTCTTCCTTGCAGGATCTTGAGCATTACCTTACTGGCATGAGAGAAATAAGGGACACTGTACGGAAGTTGGAGCAGTCTTTCGCATTTCCCTTTTTTGGTATGGGGATATAAGTTGATTTTTTCCAGTCTGATGGCCATTCTTGTGTTTTCCATATTTGCTGGCATATGGCATGTATCACCTTGACAGCATCATCTTTTAAGATTTTAAACAGTTCAGCTGGGATCCCGTCGTCTCCTGCTGCCTTGTTGTTAGCAATGCTTCTTAAGGCCCATTCAACCTCACTCCTCAGGATGTCTGGTTCTAATTCATTCACCACACCGTCATAACTATCCTCAATATTATTATCCTTCCTATACAGATCTTCCGTATAGTCTCGCCACCTTCTCTTGATCTCTTCAGCTTCTGTTAGGTCCCTGCCATCTTTGTTTCTTATCATACCAATTTTTGCCTGAAATTTACCTCCAATGTTTCTAATTTTCTGGAAGAGGTCTCTTGTCCTTCCTATTCTGTTGTCTTCTTCCACTTCCATGCATTGCTTATTTAAAAATAGTTCCTTATCTCTTCTGGCTAACCTCTGGAACTGCGCATTTAACTGGGCATATCTCCCCTTTTCACTGTTTCCTTTTGCTTTCCTCCTTTCTTGGGCTACTTCCAGTGTCTCAGCAGACAACCATTTTGCCTTCTTGGTTTTCTTTTTCTTTGGGACTTACTTTGTTGCCGCCTCCTGAACAATGTCTCGGACTTCTGTCCATAGTTCTTCTGGGACTCTGTTTACTAAATCTAGTCCTTCAAATCTGTTCTTCACTTCCACTGTATATTCGCTAGGAATGTTAGTGAGATCATATCTAACTGGTCTGTGTATTTTCCCTGATCTCTTTAGTTTTATTCTAAATTGAGCAATAAGAAGTTCGTGATCTGAGCTACAGTCAGCCCCAGGTCTTGTTTTCACCGACTGGATGGATGTCCGCCACCTTTGGCTGCAAAGGATGTAGTCAATCTGATTTCGGTGCTGACCATCTGGTGAGGTCCATGTATAAAGCCGTCTTTTAGGTTGTTGGAAGAGAGTATTCGTTATACACAGCGAGTTTTCCTGGCAAAATTCTATCAGCCTGCGTCCCGCTTCATTTTGTTCTCCCAGAACATGCTTGCCTGTGATCCCAGTTGTCATTTGACTTCCCACCTTGGCATTCCAGTCTCCTGTAATGAAAATAATGTCTCTTTTTGGTGTATTATCCAGTAGGTCCTGCAGATCCTCATAGAACTTATCTACTTCTGCTTCTTCAGCAGCTGTGGTTGGGGCGTATATTTGGATCACTGTAATGTTGAAAGGCTTTCCTTGCACTCGAATTGAGATCATTCCTTACATTGTATTAATATTGTAAGGTAATGATACTAATGCTATATATAATAATACTATCAATAATAATACAATATAATAATACAATATATTTCATATTTAGTATTACTAATAATATTATAGTATAATGGTGTCAGGAATAGAAATGATATACTTGCATTGTTACCTTACAATGTTCTTATTTCTATCTATTTATGTTTCTATTCCTGGGTTCCACATTCCAACCTGAAGGCGCCATTTTTGTTGTTTTGCCATTCTCAAAGATGGCCGCGCCGGCTACTCCCCACAGTTTGGCGCCTAAAAAAAAACCCCAAAGAGACCCCTCCCTGCCCCTTCTAAAGATTATAATTCTTTGTAAATATGTTCTTACATTATTCCTATTAATATTATTACTATGATTATGATTACCGGCTGTGAGGAATTGTGTGAGGGGAGGGAGGCCCAAAACCCAGTCCCAGAAGCAGCCTTGCCCTTACTCAAGATGGCGGAGGAGAAGGAGGAGGAGCGAAGGGTGGGCAGGGAGGGGGCGTGGCTTGCGCGCAAGATGGCGGCGGAGGAGGAGAAAGAGGAGGAGCGGAGGATTGCGTCAGGGTGGGCAGGGAGGGGGCGTGGCTTGCGCGGAGGGGGCGTGGTCTGGCCATGAGCGCGCGCCGGGCGACCCGCGCTGTGCTGCTGCTTCCCCTCCCGGTGGTGCTGCGGCGCTTTCATCGCGCGACAAACCCGCGTGTGGCCTCCTCCCGCGGGTTCAGCGCCAGGCCGGCCCCGGCGGCGCCCAGCATGGAGTACCAGGTAGGGCTTGGGGAAGGGAGGCTTAAGGTAAGAGTTGCATCATCCTCATTATCCTCCATTCAGGTGGAGAGAAGGAAGAGGAACACGTGGAGGGAGGAGAGGGACAGCCAGGCCTCCCTCCCCATCATCATCATCATCATCATATATGTATATATATATATATATAGAGAGAGAGAGAGAGAGAAATAGTGTGTGTGTATATGTATAATATATATATATAATGTAAATATATATATATATAATATATATAACATATATATAGAGAGAGAAAAATAGTGTGTGTGTATATGTATAATGTATATATATGTATATGTATAATTTAAATATATATATAATATATATATAGAGAGAGAGAGCAAGTGTGTGTGTATATGTATAATATATATATATAATGTAAATATATATAATAATATATATAGAGAGAGAAATAGTGTGTGTGTATATGTATAATATATATATATATAATGTAAATATATATATATAATATATATCTATAGAGAAATAGTGTGTGTGTATATGTATAATATATATATCTATATGTATAATTTAAATATATATATAATATATATAGAGAGAGAGAAAAATAGTGTGTGTGTATATGTATAATATATATATATGTATATGTATAATTTAAATATATATATAATATATATATAGAGAGAGAGAGCAAGTGTGTGTGTATATGTATAATATATATATATCTATATGTATAATTTAAATATATATATAATATATATATAGAGAGAGAAATAGTGTGTGTGTATATGTATAATATATATATCTATATGTATAATTTAAATATATATATAATATATATAGAGAGAGAGAAAAATAGTGTGTGTGTATATGTATAATATATATATATGTATATGTATAATTTAAATATATATATAACATATATATATAGAGAGAAAAAGTGTGTGTGTATATGTATAATATATATATATATAATGTAAATATATATATATAATATATATATCTATAATATATATATAGAGAAAGTGTGTGTGTATATGTATAATATATATATGTATAATGTAAATATATCTATATCTATAATATAGATATAATATATATAGAGAGAGAAATAGTGTGTGTGTAGTTGTATAATATATATTAGAATATATACATATATAATATATTTAATATATTAAAATATATAAGTTATATATATAATATAGTATATAATATAATATATATATATTTTATAAATACATATATATGTGTGTGTGTGTGTGTTACATATATAATATAGTTTATAATATAATTAATATATATAATACTGTATATGTTATATATATAATGTAGTATATAATATAATATATATTGTATAATATGTCTATATGTTACACATATACATAATGTATATAACATAAATAATATATATAGTACTATATAGTAAAGTAATATAGTAAAATATAGTACTATATAGTAATATTATATATATAAAATATAAATAATATATATATATAATTATATTATATATATATTATAATATAATATATATTGTATAATATATATGTTACATATACAATATACTATATAATATAATTAACATATATAGTACTATATATGTTATATATATAATATAGTTTATAATATAATTAATATATATGTGTGTGTGTGTTTTATATATATATGTGTGTGTGTATATATAGTATATAATTAATATGAGCCCCCGGTGGCGCACTGAGTTAAAGCACTGAGCTTGTTGATTGAAAGGTCACAGGTTCAATTCTGGGGAGCAGGATGACCTTCCGCTGTCAGCCCTAGCTTCTGCCAACCTAGCAGTTCGAAAGCATGCAAATGTGAGTAGATCACTAGGTATCGCTATTGTGGGAATGTAAGTCATGTCAGTGGCCACATGACCTTGGAGGTGTCTAAGGACAACGCTAGCTCTTCGGCTTAGAAATGGAGTCCCAGACTCGGACACGATTGGACTTCATGCCAGGGGAACACTTTTACCTTTTACCTTACTATAATTAATATATATATATTGTATTATATATATATATACACACACACACACACCAAATACCTGGGAGTCACTCTGGACCGTGCTCTGACCTACAAGAAGCACTGCCTGAACATCAAGCAAAAAGTGGGCGCCAGAAACAATATCATACAAAAGCTGACTGGCACAACCTGGGGATCACAACCAGATACAGTGAAGACATCTGCCCTTGCGCTGTGCTACTCTGCTGCTGAGTACGCATGCCCAGTGTGGAACACATCTCACCACACTAAAACAGTGGATGTGGCTCTTAATGAGACATGCTGCATTATCACGGGGTGTCTGCGCCCTACACCACTGGAGAAATTACACTGCTTAGCCGGTATTGCACCACCTGACATCCGCCGGGAAGTAGCAGCCAATAGTGAAAGGACCAAGGCAGAGACATCTCCAGCTCATCCCTTGTTTGGGTATCAGCCAGCACATCACCGACTTAAATCAAGAAATAGTTTTCTAAGATCTACAGAGACACTCGCTTGAACACCTCAGCAAGCGAGAGTTCAAAAGTGGCAGGCTCAAACCCAGCACCTCAATCCATGGGTGATACCAGATGAGAGACTCCCCCCTGGGCACACAGAAGACTGGGCGACTTGGAAGGCACTGAACAGACTGCGCTCTGGCACCACGAGATTCAGAGCCAACCTCAAGAAATGGGGCCACAAAGTGGAATCCACGACATGCGAGTGTGGAGAAGAGCAAACCACTGACCACCTGCTGCAATGCAACCTGAGCCCTGCCACATGCACAATGGAGGACCTTCTTGCAGCAACATCAGAAGCACTCCAAGTGGCCAGATACTGGTCAAAGAACATTTAATCAACTACCAAATTCACAAATTGTGTATTCTGTCTGTTTGTTTGCTTTGTTCTGTTAGAAATGTAATATAATGGACTGGTTGCTCTGACACGACAAATAAATAGTGGCCACATGACCTTGGAGGTGTCTAAGGACAACGCCGGCTCTTCGGCTTAGAATAGCCAAGACAGCCAGGCCTGCAAGGGAGCTCAATTTGCAGCACCCATAACATTAATAATAATAACAGTAGTGTGTGTGTGTGTGTGTGTGTGTGTGTGTATGTATGTGTGTGTGTATGTATGTGTGTGTGTGTGTGTATATATATATATTAGTAATAAATAATAATATATTGATATGTTTACTTAATATATTATTTATTTATTTATTTACTTTATTTCTATACCTCAGGCGACTCAAAGCGGTGAACAACATCACGAGACAAGTATGGGGCAATTTAAAAAAAATGTAACATAAATCATTAAACATCCGTATAACAATCATTAGCGTCTCAACAGTAAAATCAGAATCCAGTCTCATCATCCATTATTCCGTATTCCTATGTTCAATTACACTGTTTAATCAAATGCTTGTTCGAACAGCCAGGTCTTCACTTTCCTCCGAAACGCCAGCAGGGAGGGGGCCGATCTGATATCTGCAGGCGGGGCGTTCCACAGCCGAGGGGCCACCACTGAGAAGGCCCTGTCTCTCGTCCCCGCCAAGTGCGCCTGTGATGCAGGCAGGACCGAGAGCAGGGCCTCCCCAGATGATCTTAGTGTCCACAGGTGTTCCACAGCTGAGGGGCCACCACTGAGAAGGCCCTGTCTCTCGTCCCCGCCAAGTGCGCCTGTGATGCAGGCAGGACCGAGAGCAGGGCCTCCCCAGATGATCTTAGTGTCCACAGGTGTTCCACAGCCGAGGGGCCACCACTGAGAAGGCCCTGTCTCTCGTCCCCGCCAAGTGCGCCTGTGATGCAGGCAGGACCGAGAGCAGGGCCTCCCCAGATGATCTTAGTGTCCACAGGTGTTCCACAGCTGAGGGGCCACCACTGAGAAAGCCCTGTCTCTCGTCCCCGCCAAGCACGCCTGTGATGCAGGCGGGACCGAGAGCAGGGCCTCCCCAGATGATCTTAGTGTCCTAGAATCATAGAATCAAAGAGTTGGAAGAGACCTCATGGGCCATCCAGTCCAACCCCCTGCCAAGAAACAGGAATATTGCATTCAAAGCACCCCCGACAGATGGCCATCCAGCTGGTTCATAGGAGGAGATGCATTCGGACAGGTAAGTCGGGCCAGAACCGTTTAGGGCTTTATAGGCTAAAGCCAGCACTTTGAATTGTGCCCGGTAGCAAATTGGCAGCCAGTGGAGCTGGCGCAACAGAGGAGTTGTATGCTCCCTGAGTGCCGCTCCTGTTAGCAACCTGGCTGCCGAACGCTGGACCATTTGAAGCTTCCAAGCAGTCTTCAAAGGCAACCCCACGTAGAGAGCGTTGCAGTAGTCTATACAGGCTGTAACCAGCAAAATACAGCAAGGACAGTCAGGCCTGCAAAGCAGCTCAGCAGCACCCATAATAATAATAATAACAACAACAACAACCAACATGGAGGGAAGTCAAGAGGAGAAAACTGCTTCAAGTGCAAAAGACAGAGAGGGAATGTCGTAAATACACAATCCAAAGAGGAAACTGGCCATGGACTGGGGAAAAATGAGATCCATATTGACAAAGAAAAAACCTGGCTGTGGCTCCCAAATGGGACTCTGAAAAAGGAGACAAAGGAGGGCCTGATTCTGGTAGCCCAAGAACAAGCCATTTGAACCAAGGCCATCCGAGCTAGAATTGAAAAGTCGACAACAGATCCTAAATATAGACTCTGCAAGGAAGCAGGCGAAACAATGGATCCCATCCTCAGCTGCTGCAAGAAGATCGCGAACAGACTCCAAGCAGAGGCACAACACCCTTGCTCAGATGATTCATTGGAACGTGTGCCACAAACACCATCTGCCTGCCACAAAGAAATGTTGGGATCACAAGCAGGAAAAAGTTACAGAGAATGAACATGCTAAACTCCTCTGGGACTTCTGGATTCAGACAGAGTTTTGGAGCACAACACTCTGGACCTCACAATTGTGTTAAAAAACAAAGTATGGGTCATCAGTGTTACAATCCCAGGCTACAACCCACTCTGATTGGCAG